CTATGAATCTATCACACAGTTGTTTCTGGCAGTCGCTGCCGATTTCTTCTCTTCCTTTTGTGCCTGTTGTTTTGGGGACCGGGTGTATCTTACAGGCTTACAGTGTCAATGTTGTCTGACTCTTTCCTTTGTTCTTCCATCCATGGTTATTCCAACCTTTTCCCAAACGTCCTTCCCGTCTCTCCGATGTAAACCTCTTCGCAAGAGAATTCGATGGATTAAAGAAGCGGTCTGGATAAGCAAGGACAGCTGCCTAAACTACTTTCGGATGTTTCCCATTGAGTATGCAAATATGTTAATTTAGTGCCCAACCCAGCAAGATCAATAACAACTGAATCCAAGAAGAGCATTATAGAGGTAGAGATATGTAGACTTATTGTATGTAGTAAAATAATGCATACTTGTCGTCCTCATTTCCTCATTCTCAGATACATTTGTTTGTTTTGGGACTGCTGTCTGTGGGGTCGTGTGGCGCAGTCGGTAGCGCGTTCGGCTCACACCCAAGAGGTTGCGGGTTCGAACCCTGCCCGTGTCACCGATCTTGTGCCCTTGGGAAAGGCACTTTGCACGACTTTCCTCACTTCACTCAGGTGGAAATGAGTACCTACCCTCTGATAGGACGTTAAATGGAGGTCCCAAACAAACAAGATGCTAGGGCCTCAAACTTATATCTTTTCTTCCCTAACACAACGCCACCAAAAAATCGTGACCACTGCATGTCCAGACAACGAGATATCAATGCATAAGTTCCTATGCAGTACCATAACAAGCCACATGGGGGACCAAAATCTGATCCTTTTCGGGTATCATCTACCCACACAAATGTAAATATCCATCCACGATGCACCCGAACACATAACATTGGCGGAGGTCCTTTGTTGCAAAAACGTGCTAAACACACAGAATAGATGGAACGTTACTGCTGCTTTGTTGTCACCATGTATTTCGTTTAGAAATGATTGAAAATAGATATCTTTAATCAATGGCCAAAGATCTAGAATTAACAATTTAAAACGTATTTGTATTGTGTGAAATTGGCAAATGCCAGTAGATCTATAAATAGGCTTTCTACCTATCTACTGCGCTATCAGTGGTGGGAACGCGCCACCTGCTGAAGGGGCTGTACTAATTACCTCCATGGAGCCAGTCCTTATTGCACCTACTGACAGACGACTTTGTGGCACGTGGAAACTATGAAAGATGGCCGTGAGCCATCAACAGAACGCTAATACTGGGCCATGGAGCGTTTGACTGCTGTAACCGTGCTCGTTTTCCGTGCTCAGATTAAAATTAACAAGATAAAAAAAATAAAAAACGGCATAATTCTGAATGCAAAAAAATAGCAAAATGGAGATGATTCATTAGAAATACGTCGACTTGTTTGTTTAAAGGGAAACCGTAGGAAAATTTTAATTCACTCGACTTCTGACCTTGTTAATTCACACGACTTCTGACCTTGTTAACTACAACATTAATACTAATACTAATACTAATAATAACCATTATTGTACATGCATTAAGTACAGGTCAACAGATGAAATAGGTAATATAGTATATAGTATATTCACGTTTGTAGTACAAACAGCTCTAAAACTACTCTAATACAGAGGTTCGGCTTCTTCTCGTTTCTTTGTAATGTTAAAAATATAACTTGAAATGGGTTTGTATAGTACAGAATGATCAACGCGCATAAGAAAGATAGATTTTTCAATATTAGACAAGTATTGGACGTATGGAAACGTACTTGTAATATATCTAAAAAGATCATTTCTTTCATTACTATATAAACTACAATCAATAACAAAGTGGACTTCATCTTCTACTTTGTTTGACCTACAAAATTGGCAAAAAAGTTCTTTGCTCCAGAGGTGTGCGGTTGTGACTCCTGTTTCGATGCTGAGTTTATGACAGCTACTCCGCTAGAAGATTTGCACTTGGGAGTTTTGAACTTCGCGCCGTAAGCCGCCGCCTACATCCGTCACAAGGCGTGCAGGACCAGTAGGTCAGACCGGAGTCACCATGGCGTTTTTCTGGACTTCGCTTGTTCTTCTCACCGTATTGAGACAGGCTGCAAGTCAAGGTGTGTGTGGTCTGATTACGGTTAGATTCTGTTTTAGGCAGTTGACTTCAGATATAAGGGGGTAGCTTTTATCATCTTTTGAATGTTAAGATAGATTGAAATGAACATATGGTAAACTACAGACATTCTGTGCATTTTCGACCATCACTATTGTAATTAAAGAAAAAACATAATCCTGGACGCTATTCCGGCGAACTTGCGTTTATTGCGCGTACTGGTTACCTTCCAGGGGAGTTCTTTACATGTTTGACCTACTTGTTTTACGCCAGGATGGTCCAAGGGCAAGACGCGGTGAACTCACCTTAACTTTACCTTCAGACTACATGGGTCATTGTCTTATACCCCCTTCACTCAAGAGCCGGATCTCTGTATTCCTAGATATTCGAAGTGCAGGGCTGTAATGTTAACAATAACACCTGCCCACAGGTGCACACCTGTGCTGCAAATATCAACACCTGTTTACAGGTGCGTGCCTTGGCTGTTATTTAAGGAAGGCTTGCACCTGGGATGTAATGTTAACACATTGTTTACAGGTGTTCATCTGAACAGTAATGTTAACACCTGTTAACATGTGTGCACATGTCTGCAGGTATACTTATAATGTTAAAACCTGTTTGCAGGTGTGTATCTTGGCTGTTATGTTAATAAACGTTAACACCTGTTCACAGGTGCGTACCTCAGCTGTTATGTTAATACCTGTTTACAGGTACATCTGCAATGTTAAAACCTGTTCACAGGTACATATCTGGACTGTAATGTCAACACCTGTTCACAGGTGCATACCTGGGCTGCTATGTTGACCAAGAAGACGCTAGAGACTTCCCTTATGTGATGACATGGTCGGACCTGACGCCGCAAAAATGCATACGTCACTGCGCTGATCTGGGTTATGCCTACGCGGGGTTACAATACGCGGTCGAGGTAAAGGCTTCTTATTACAGAATACATGTAACATTACCATATATCATTTAGTCCATGGTTTGCTCTTCAGTACT